GCATGCAAAGAGAAACACGAAGATTTCTCCATGATCACGGTAAATATAAAAGTATTTTTACGATTAGCCGATACAGAAAACAGACTTTTACAACTCTACCAACTCTTGTCAGTTAGCATGTTTTTTCATTTACGAAGCGATTTAAAACTGTAGTTAACTTTCCGCTGCATCTTGTACGATCTGTTCTTTCTTCTAATAATCTTGAACCGTAATACATCCAATCCTATATTGCATCTCTGTTCTTTTTTAATTATATAATCCTGATCATTTCCAATACTTATTCATGGCAAGATAAAAATACAATAATTTCCATAGCTCAATAGAGACATAACCGAAATCCTTGAATTCTAAACTCCTGGAAGTCTTCAAATTTACACCATGCTTACATGATGAAGATTGAAGAGACCACATAATTCACAAAACCCAAAGAGCTTACGGAATTCAAGAAACTCACAGAAATCGTGGGTCCGAAGGACTTCTTGGTACCTGTGGAACTCCTGAGATCTTAAGAACTCACTGAATCAGGAGAACTTTCGGAACCCAAGAGAACCACAGAACTCCTGTAAAACGAATAACTTCGCAAACATGCGCAGACTGTGAATGTCCATAGTTTTGATATGATGTTGATCGACATGTACATATGGGCGCACATAGGCAGGCTAGTATCGTATAGCGATAGTCACAGACACACTGAAAACAAATACAAACAAACACCCTTTGACATACACAGCTAGACCCATTCACATGCCTATACAAGCATATATGTTTGAACGGCAACACTCACAAAGACTTGCATACTCTAAAACAACGACGTCTGCTGAAACTTTCAATCCTCTAAAAGCTTCTATTTGGTACCGGTCGGCAAAACTTCTGAAAAATGATAGTTGACAACTAGAACTGGCTTTGGCATATTTCCGAAGACCTTTTTTTATTTTGCAAAGTATTTTTTATGGGTAACACCATAGGGTAAATAAGCAATGTCTTGTAGGTTGGAAAGGTTGATTACAGTTCATTCATGCTTTTTAGAGTAGCTGAAGCTATTCAGACATCACAACCACACACTTGCTACTGGAATGATGCCTATACACACTCATGCAGGAAAGTGCGGGTAAGGATGAGAGTTTGGAATGTGTCACTCACTCTAACCTGCAGTTATAGAAACAAGCATACGCTACAATATCCGAATCTCCATCTACAGTTGCTCCCACATTCACACTCTTCCAAGGATTCTATGGGTTCTGCAAATTCTGTGTATATCTAGTATTCCGAGAGTTTCGTAAATTCCATAGGTTCTGTGAATTTCATTAATTGCTTTAATCGTCATGTGTTTTCATATATGTATTTGCCTTAGCAATGACGTAATGTTTCTATGTAGCATGGTGTTTTTGTTTTCAAGAGTTGTGGGAGTTCAGAATTCACGGATTAATGGCCTATGCTACTCGAAAAGTAGTCGATGATCAAGTAAATCTGAGAGAGATCCTAAATGTGATAAAATCATTTGTGATGAAGCAGAAATCTTTTCATACTAAACTGAAGACAAGTTTCTTGATACTCTTGAAATAATCACAATAAAAAGAAAAAAGGATTGTGAAAGTTTCTATGACTACACAAGTATTATAAGTATACAATGAAAAATATAATAAAAATTTTGCTATGTGGCAAGTAGATTAGAATCGAATTCGAACTTTGAGAAAAATAATACATAAACGAGTTGAACAAACAGATAAGAGAAACTGACCTCATCTTGTACATATTAAGGGAATGAATAAGTCAGACGTCTGTAAGAATATTCTATGTTTTATGATTGTTAAAAAATGATTTGTTATTCTGATGAAAAAGCAAAGCGTTCTATGAATGCAAATTCTCACATCAGATGTACTCCTGTAATCGTAAGGTATCGGATGAATGATCTTGCATTTTTTCCAATCGTAAGAGGCGAATTCATTTCAAAGTTTTAATTTACTATTATAAAAATGGAAAACAATGAGTTATAGGTGACTATTATGAAACACGTTAAAGAAGATATGCATGAAAATGTTTTCTTAAGCAGTCTTTCAAAGTTAATACTTGTCGCTGCCTTTGAACACTGTAAAACTCATAAAATTTGAAATGCAATGGGTATAAACACGTGAGTCTAGAAAAATCTTACGCATTTTAACACGTTCAGGTATCACTAACGAGTTAAACGCGTTTGTAGTAATTTTGTTTGGCTGGATAGCACACATCATGACTAAAATATGAGTTCATAAGAGTGTTACTACTTGAAAAGCCTTCCTTAGATATTCTTAAAAAAACCTGAATTTGTAGGTGTGCGGATAGCTCTATGTGTCGCTGAAGAGACATAGCACACTCACATTCAGACTCACTTCTAAATTCACAATCTTGCAGACATTCCAAGCCTCGATTAGATTGGTTTGGTGCAACGTGGTGTAGTTTTATCAAAATAATATTTGATTCTTTGATCAAATAGCTACTAAAGGAAATCTCTTTGTATAAGATCTCATGAATGGAGATTTGATACATTTCTTAATTGATATTCTTTTAAGGTCGAATGATAGTTGGAACGAGTTAGAGCATATTTTATTAATACTGATGATGCTTTGCAAATGTTGAAAACCGAGAAATTTTTAGTGAACCATCAACAGAGGAAAAGGCCAAAATAAACTCCACCACCGTCACCTCGGATCAATTCATCAGGTTTGATCTCTGCTTTTGAGTGATTGTTCTGTATAAGTCTCTGCTTGGAATCCAAAACCATAATTTATGTTTATTTTAGATCTAATCATTATTTGAAAATTTCTCTTTGATTAGACTCATATTAAAATCAATAGGAAACATCCTTTATAATCAATTTAGGCTTGAATCAATCTAAAATGATCGAAGCTAAAGCATCATCTTTTGGCAGAAAAATGCCAATGATTCATCTTTATTGGAAGACGTTGGTAGTACTCGTAATTGGATTCTATTGTATAATTCTGTCTTTTTATCAGCGTCCTAATGTTCTACAATTTTACAAGGGAACACGCGTAAATTCAGAAACAAATTCAACCATGATAAACATTAATATTACATGTGGTGATGCTATTTTAAATTGGTGTATTGAGAATCAAATTGACGTATCGAACTGTTCATGGTCGATAGGAACATTTCGAAGCCATTTTTATACAATGGCAGCCTTAATCAATCCACCATATCCCTATTCTATTAACAACAATACTGGACTAGCATTTATTCGATTAGGAGATGGAGAAATGAAGCTTATGTTTGGAATATCTGTACAATCCATTGATCCATGGTCATGGCGTGGTGGTCAATCAAGATTAGGGCAAGATTTGAAAAAAGCGATACGTTATCCTAAATATCAATACAATGCATATAGTCCATTTTACTATGGAATTTATGATGCTAAGGACATTTGTCCTTTTCATGAATTTATCACCATGATTTATCAACATCCAAAGTATTTAACGTATACTAATTTATTTGTTAATTCTAACTATCCTGCTACAAAGTTATTGCATCGTTCACTGATTCGAGATCATCGAAAAAAGATTATTCTCATAATTAATAATGGAACTAGCTCGAAAAAACTGGTTGAACTAAATGACTGGGCTTGTGAAATACTACTTTATCCACATAATGGACCATTGATGTGGGAAAACAACCAGTTCAGAGAAGAAGCAATTCAAAAAATTGTAACTACGGCAAAACGATATAGAAATCGATTATTTGCATTTTCCGTAGGTCCATTATCGAGAGTTCTTATACATCATGCTTGGCTTGAGAATCCTTTCAATCGTTATATAGACTTTGGTTCTACATTAGATGAAATGACAAAAAACAGAATGACTCGACCATATCAATCGAATGCTGAACTCAACCATGATCCAACATATGTAATTAACTTTGACGCAAGTAAACGTCTATTTCAAGTGTCTAGTGTAAACTGAAAGTATATATGGTTTATCTATTAGTTTGCTTTGTTCTTATCTTTTTATCTTATAAAACAGTAAACTTATATTGAGAATTAGGTTATTTATCAAATAAAGTCGAGGTTGTCATCATTGTCGTGAATGAAAGTTGATTGAACATATGGAAGTCGATCCATGAACTACTGAATGTTGATCTAAATCAGACTAGCCCAGTCCGTGAGTCGGATATCTAGTTAAAAGCCTTTTCCAATGATAGTTTGGCTTGCGATGCTGGCTAAAATTATTCTTTATGATTAAGTATCCATTTTTTTATGAATTAAATCAGAGTTACTTCATGAAAGTTAACCCTTTCGAGGCGATGTCGCCCACCGGTGGGCGACGCTATAATTTACAGTGGTCAGCCATCCATAAAAACAAAAAGTTCTTGGAAAATGTCTTCGTCTATCAGACTTTGTGGAGCTATCTGCGCTGATCATTTTGATAAAAAAATATTCTAAGTTTGACCAATAAATGACGGTGCTATGATCAAAATACTGAAAAATTTCAAGCTGCTCTATGTGCTAGAGCTATAACGTTTTTCAGTATTTTAATCATAGCATCGTCAATTATTGATAAAATTTAGAATATTTTTTTATAAAAATGATCAGCGCAGATAGCTCCACAAAGTCTGATAGGCGAAGACATTTTCTAAGAACTTTTTGTTTTTGATGGATGACTACCCATGGAAGCACACTAGTTACATCCCTAACATTTTTGGAACTGCCCGTGATTCTGTAGCTTATTATCACCCTATGAATTATCAGTTATACTCTTAAATCCCGTTTTTAACTGGATTTCATTTGATATAAAAATCACTTGTATATCTCTTTGCATTTTAGCTGTAATCTTTGGAAAAAAATTTTTGGAAACCCTGTAGAATCACATCGTCTTGAAAGGGTTAAGAATAAGTCAACCACATTGTGTTGTATAGAAAGAAAGTATTTGAATCAAATTTGATAATTTAGTTGATATTAATTATAATGCAACAAAATTGCTTGAATGTCAATATAAGTTTGATAAAACTCATCTGAGCCAATAAATTAATGGCATGCATAAGTTATTTGAATATGTCAATCTTGTATCAGCATGTATACTAGATCTGAGGTATGCTCACATTTTGAAAAAAACTCAATTTTCGAGTCTATGGAAAATTTCATTGTATCATCATAGTTGCTCAAAAACAATAAGCAACAACGTATAAGAACTTTTCAAAATGTTACAAAACTTGAAGCAGCTTATTTCGACAACGGATATGATGATATTGCACATTTGAGCATGCTAATTCTTTATGGAAATACTGATAGCTTTGATTAATTTTGAGTTTGAAGTATGACTCTTTTAAGTGAGAGTGAGTTTTATCTCAGAGTTGAATGTCAGTAAATGTTTTTTGACGAATCCATATTTTGGTCTTTGTCGTCATCGATGATTTTACGGTTAAACTTTGGTTCCTCTATAATATTATTATAACTCTCCATATATAATTCCAAAGCATCTATGATGAAGAAAGAGAGACTATGTCACTCTTTTGTCTCTTGAGACAAAATAGATGCACAATACTATATAGGAGCAAGTATGCATATGAAAAATTGTAAAAAAGCTCAAAGAAATACGTAGAAGTTTGATGAAATATGAACAAGTACGAAGAAATACAATAAGTATGGGAGAACATGACGTTTAAGTCGGGAATATGTACATTATGCAGGTCCTAGTGAGCTATGAATATCTTGAAAAGAGTTCGGATCCATATCTTATTACTGCTGAGATACTGCATTTTTACGATATTTTTAGTACAAAAGGCGTAGTCAC